TTCAGATTTCTTATTTCTTCATGATGCAATTTTGGTAGATTGTATGTTTCTATAAATTTATCCATTTTTGCTTGGTTGTCCAATTTGTTGGTATATAACTATTCATTATCTCTTATGATCCTTTGTATTTCTGTGGTATCAGCTGGAATGTCTCCTGATCTTATTTAACTTTTTTCTTGATAAGTCTAGTTAAAGGTTTGTCTATTTTGTTTATTTTTTTAAAAAATGAGCTCTTAGTTTCACTGATTTTTCTTTTGTTTTTAAAATTTCACTTATTTTGGGGCACCTGGGTGGCTCAGTCGTTAAGTGTCTGCCTTCGGCTCAGGTCGTGATCTCAGGGTCCTGGGATCGAGCCCCACATCGGGATCCCTGCTAAGCGGGGAGCCTGCTTCTCCATCTCCCACTCCCCCTGCTTGTGTTCCCTCTCTCGGTGTATCTCTCTCTGTCAAATAAATAAATAAAATATTTAAAAAAATAAAATAAAATTTCACTTATTTCTACTCTGATCTTTGTTATTTTCTTCTTTCTAGTAACTTTGGGCTTTTCTTTTTCTTGTTCCTTGAGGTGAAAACGCAGGTTGAGTTCTTTCTTTTTTCTATTAATGCAGGCATTTATTGCTATGAACTTCTCTCTCAGAATTGCTTTTGCCATATCCCATTAGTTTTAGGTATGTTGTATTTTCATTTTCATTTGTCAAGATATTTTTTGCTCTTTTATTTTTTTGACCCACTGGTTGTTCAGTAATATTTAACCCCCACATATTTGTGAATTTTCAACTTTACTCTTTTAATTTCTAGTTTCAGATCACTGTGGTTGAAAAGATGCCAAATCGGATTTCAATCTTAATTATGAAAAACTGTTTTGTGGCCTAACACGATCCTGGAGAATCTTCCATGTATGCTTGAGAAGAATGTATATTCTGCTGCTTTTGGATAGAATGTCTGTAAACATCTGCTAAATCCACCTGCTCTAATGTGTACTTTAAGCCCAATGTGTTCTTATTTATTTACTATCTGGATAATCTTTCTGTTGTTGAAAATTCTTTGAATATAATTAGTTATTAGCTTGTTATTCTGGAAATCTATTTGTAATACTTAGAAATCAGTAGCTAGCTTATACTTGTTGATTGCTAAGTTATCTGCTCTGTCTTCCATAAAGCTATTCTAATCAACTTTCAAAGAGTTAATGGGAATTTTAAATTGATATAACATGAATGAATAATTATTTTAAAAATTGTTAATTTTATACAAATCAGCACAAACCTTCAAATACATAAAATTATAGCAAATGTTAAAACCCATCAAACTAAAATTCCTTCTGACTCTGGTTTCAGTCTTCCACTATGTAAAGTGGCATTTTTATAAAGGTCGTGACAGTCATCCTATACAGCATCTAACTTTAAAAGTTAGGAACACATTTCTGATTACTCCCTATCTTCTGACCTGTTAGAGCTCTGTTTTCTACAAATTATATGAGCCTTCACTCATTATTTGCTGAGCTACTGGGGGCTGTGTTCAGTAAGACACTTATGTAATTATCTATAGTTTTAAAGACTTTTTTTTAATTCTAGAATTTGCTGAGTAAGAATATTCTGTAGAGTCTATTTTGTTTCATTGTCTCTCTAGATTGTGGAAATAAACTCTTGTCTGTATTTCCTCCATTGTTAAATAACTCCTTCCAGTTTATCATTTCAGAATGTGACTGGATTTCACAATGGGGAGGGTAGAATTTTTAGGAGACTGTATCTAAAAATCACTAAAAAAAGGTTATTCCTGACATCGGGAATTTACTTATTTGGCAGGAACAAATAAAGTTGAGGAAAGAAAGAAGGGCTGCTTAAAAAAAAAATAATAGCCAGATTTTGAGTATCTATGATGTACCAGGTACTTTTCTAGGTATCTTAACTACATCATCACATTTGCTTCAAAACTATAAAATTTATATTATTCCCACTTTTCAGAAAAGGATGTTAAGGCTGAGAGATTAGATAACTTCCCAAAGATCACAGAGGTGCTAAGAGGTGGGACCAAGATTCGCACCTAAACACTATAGTCTGCAGTGCCTCTCATGACAACACAGAGCCTGGTTTATTTATTTTTCATTTGTAAGTGGAAAACGGAGGTTCTGGTTTAGTAGAAACTTAGACTTGGATTTCATTCCAGCTCATTTTATTCCAGATCCAATTAAGTTTTTATTTATTTTATTTTTCCTAGAGCCTAGGTGGTAGTCTGAAGAAGAATGAAGTCTATGGAAGAGCTTGAGTTGCATCCATAGAAAACAGATCATTTGTCTTCTTTCCTTTTTCATTTACCTGAACTCCTACACCCCACATTCCTACTGCATTTCCACCTCTCCCATTCTCACTTCAACTAAAGACTTGAGAAACTGAGACCAAAATATAAAGTCTAACCTTATATTGCTGGGCGTCTGGGTGGCTCAGTCTAGTTAAGCATCTGACTCTTGATTTAGGCTCAGGTCATGATCTCAAGGTCATGAGATGGAGCCACCACCCCCCTCCCCCCACCCATAGGGCTCGGTGCTGGGTGAGGAGCCGGATTAAGATTCTCTTTCTCCCTCTGCCCCTCCCCCTGCCTGCCTTGGGAGTTTACATTATAGTAAGGAGAGAATGATAGGAAGTGACTAAGTAAAATTTAAAAAAAAGGATATCAGATAACAGTAAGTACTAGGAAAAAAGATAACACAGGAAAGGGAAAGGATGGTGGTGGTGGAGGCAGTGATCAGGGACAACTTCACCCCGGAGTTAACATTTGAGCAAGGACATAAAAAAGGTGAGTAAAGGAACAAGTCATGTGGCTACCTGAGAAAAGAGAGTTTGAGGATAAAGAAAAAGCGGTTCAAATACCCAGAGATCATAAGCCAGTGGCATCAGAGTGGAATGTGCAAAAGGGAGAGTAGTAGAAATTGAAGTCAAATGAAATTTGGATCAAGGAAATAATACAGTTTGAGACCAATGTAAAAACTTAATTTTATTCTGAAAACTATAAATTAATTTGTGACTTTTTCCATCCTCATAAACTGATAAAACACAATACTAAAATTAGTTTTCAAAGACAAGCTGAAATAGCATTTATACATATATGGTGGTTAATTTTATACATTATTTCTCTTTCGATTATTTAAAAGAAATTAAGCACTTTCTCAAATGCTTATTTCAAAGCTGATATCTGATATTGTCACATTCGTAAGGCTCATCTGACTATCATACTTACAAAGACTAGGAAGTCAACCTTCTGTAAATAGTTAAAAATCCTTGATATAAACATTCACTTTCAAAGCCAGGAAGTAAGTCAAATGGAGCACCTGAAAAGTTTCTCCTAGGTTAAAAATTAAAAATGGGAAAAAGAAGCCTCCACTTTAAGTCATAAAATCTTTATATTAAAGGGGAAGTAAATGAACAGAATTCCGTGTTTAAAATAAAAAACGTGGCAGTAGAGTTCTTATCCAAAGTCCAAGACATTAGACTAACTAGAATGTACCGTTTCTAGCATAGCTATGTCTTAAAGAAAAAAGAAACTGTTTCTTAGACAATGTTTGTAAAGAAAATTCCATATATAAACCTATACCCCATCAATTCACATTATTATAGTAGAAGCCTCAATTAAGAGGAAATATGATTTCCTCTAGTAAATTTAAGCTGGTAACTAGTGAGCTAGCATCCACAGAGGAACAGATATCTTCAAGGAAGTGCATCTATGATGAAGTTACTCATGAAGAAACTAATATATCAGCTGGGGAGCACTGAGTAATATATATGTTGTACCCCTGAAACTAATACTTCAATAAAAAAAATATTAGCTGGGTCAATATTTAGCTATATTTAATTCTATATGATCATGCAATTTGTTATAAAACCCAGATTTTAAAATTTTCATAAATTTATGAAACGGCAAAATTCCATTTAGGCTTTTTTTTTTTTTTTGAGAGACAGAAACAGAGCACAAGCAGAGGGAGAGGGAGAGAGAGAGAGAATCTCAAGTAGGCCCAATGCCCAGCACGGAGCCTGATGCAAGGCTTGATCTCATGACTCTGAGATCATGACCTGAGCCTAAATCAAGAGTAAGACGCTTAACTGACTGAGCCAACCAGGTACCCCTCTATTTAGGCTACTGAATGAGATCTTGTTCACAAATTCTCTCAGTGCTCCTACTCCCAAATATTAAATGAATGATGCTATTTCTCTAATTACATTGTCTATCTACAATCTGGTAACACAAGCACAATTCAAACATGTGCATCTTTTTCCAATAAATATTATTTACAATAATTTGGCTACAACAAAAATACTTCTAAGCTCTGTTTGACAGCAGGCAGTCTGACCACAATAGGAGCTATTCCATAAGAAACAGTTCTACCATTACTTCATATTGCGAAGTCTTAAACAGTTTAGGAGAAATTAAAAGATAAAGTACAGGTTCCTAAAATGAATTTAACAGGCCCTCAAAAAGAGTTAGATAAAAGCTATTTAAAGACAGACATCTTGCTGGCATCACTTTCAAAACATATCACAATCATACCATTTCTCACTACCTCCACTACTGCACTTGGTCTGAGCCACATCACCTTCCCCTAGTAGAACTGCAATTGTCTCCTAGTTACTCTGTGGTTAATCAGGCCTACTATGAATATTCTACATAATGCCTGAGCCTATATATCATTCATCTCACCCTATTATCCTGACCTACTTTCTCATTTTTCTATAGCACTCAATCATCTTCTAACATGCTGTAACATTTACTTGTATTTACAGCCTATTTTTCCTTATTGGAGTATCCACCCCCTAAGGGCAGTCATCTTTGTTTTGCTCTCCGACATACTCTAAGCACTAGAACAGTACTTGGCACATGATGTAAGATCAGCTGTAGAATGAACAAGTTTCAACTTTGAGACAAATATAAAGAAATAGTCAACCAGGTTTGATAAATATTAATTATGACAAAAATATGCATGATGTGCTCTTATTAACCAGAGCTTTACCATACCAGATAAAATAAGCAGTTCAATGATTTCTGCATCTCCAAGATAGGCAGCAGCATGCAGTGGAGTTCTCTTTTCATTGTCCTGTAAAAAGAGGAAAGGTGGAACATAAGTTTTAATATAAAATTAATTTCAGTATACTTTAAATGAAGAAAAACCATTAACTACCAACTTACTAGTTCCATAGGCTTAGTCTAAGTTAGCAACCCATTAACAGAATATTTCCTTGCTAGGAGAAGAAAGGCCTAAAAAAATATTTTGGCCTTAAAGGAATAGCTTTACTAACTATAGCAAAAATAAAATCTAAGGTGACAGAGAAAATAACGTCTTAGGCTTTCTTTGAATAAAGATGCCTATGCTGCTGATATACATAGTAAAATTTCCTTTATTTCATCCTATTTTTCCCAATATACTTCCACAGTTTTACACAGTTTGGAATTATTGACCTAACTAAATAAAACAAACCTTAACAAAAGGTTTGCCTATCAAAATGTTTCCACAGGTACCCTCAAATTTTTCTCTGGGGATTTGAAGTTATCCCTTAAAACAATCTTAAGGATTTCTTAAAATTCCTGCCAATTTTGTTTGTGGCTTTAAAATATATTACTATCTTTGTAAATATAAAAAATACACAGTTTTCCATTTTGCACAGTGAAGGAAACCATCAACAAAACAAAAAGGCAATCTACTAAATGGGAAGAGATACTTGCAAATGATATATCCCGTAAGTGGTTAATATCCAAAATATATCAAGAATCTATATGACTTAAGACCAAAAAAACCCCCAAACAATCCAATTAAAAAATGGGCAGAGGACCTGAATAGACATTTTTCCAAAAAAGACTATAGTCAACGACACATGAAACTAACTAGCATCACTCATCATCAGGGAAATGCAAATTAAAACCATAATGAGATATCATTTTATACCTGTCAGAATGGCTAAAATCAAAAAAGACAAGAAATAACAAGAGTTGGCAAGGATGTGGAGAAAAAAAACCCTCGTGCACTGTTGGTGGGAATGCAAATTGGTGCAGCCACTGTGCAAAACAGTAGGAAGGTTCCTCAAAAAATTAAAAATAGAATTACCATATGATCCAGGAATTCCACTACAGGATATTTACCCAAAGAAAACAAAAACACTAATTTAAAGGGATACACATGCACCCCTATGTTTACTGTAGCATTGTATACAATAGCTAAGCTATGAAAGCAGCCCAAATGTCCATCCACAGATAACTGGATAAAGAAGATGTGGTGTACATACACAATGGACTATTATTTAGCCATAAAAAAGAACAAAATCTTGCCATTTGCAACAACACAGATGGACCTAAAGAGTACTTAAGTGAAATTAGTCATTCAGAGAAAGACAAGTATCATACGAATTTATGGGGAATTTATGAAACAAAAGAAATGAACAAAGAAAAAAAGAGACAGACAAACAAACAAAAAAACCCACTAAAATACAGAGAACAAACTGGTGGTTGCCAGAGGGGAGATCGGTTGAGGGAATGGGTAAAATAGATAAAGAGGATTCAGAGTACACTTATCTTGATAAGCACGGAGAAATGTATAAAACCGTTCAATCATTACATTGTACACCTGAAACTAACATAATAATGTATTTAATTATACTTCAATTTTTTAAAAAAGATTTTATTTATTTATTTGACAGAGACATAGCGAGAGAGGGAACACAAGCAGGGGGAGTGGAAGAGGGAGAAGCAGGCTTCCTGCAGAGCAGGGACCCCAATGCGGGGCTCAATTCCAGGACCCTGGGATCACAACCCGAGTCGAAGGCAGATGCTTAACCAACTTGAGCCACCCAGGTGCCCCAATTTAAAAAAATGCATACTCTTCCAAATCTTCAAGAAAAGAAGATACATCTAATACAAGGCTTCATGTACCTCACCCCCTCAAACACCAATGATCTCCAGTTTGAGAAGCAAGATCTTGAGGTAGAGTCACATTCAGGGATTTTTAATTCATATTTACACCTCATCTAAAGTTACAAGAATGTTGTTTCTTTTTCTTTTTTAAAGATTTTATTTATTTGAGAGAGAGAGATAATGAGAGAGAGAGCAAAAGCCAGGGAAGAGGGAGAAGTAGTCTCCCCGCTGAGCAGGGAGCCTGACATGGGGCTCAATCCCAGACCCTGGGATCATGATCTGAGCCAACTGAACCACCCTGGCACCCGAAGAGTACTGTTTCTGAGAAAGCTATTTATTTAGACTTATTTTGAAATTTACGCCCAATTTTTTGGATAGAGGATTTGTGATAGATTGTTAATTGTTTTCCATTATTTATTGTCCCCCTTTGTCCATAGGAATAAAGTTGTAGCTGGTAATTTACCCACGCAGTGAGAGAATATACTCCTAAATCTGCCTTTAAGTTTTGTTACTTGGTGTGGACCAGTGTGGTATGTGAGTTGGAAGTGAAGACACAACTTTCAGGTCATCCTCAACTTAAAAGACAGCCACCTTACTCTGGATTAATACTTTCCCAATTCCCACAGGCTGGAAGGCAGATGTGAAACTGAGCCAGCTTGGACTCTACAAAGGTAGGCCAATATCCTAGAAGACTGTCATGATCTTGAATGATCTTATAGAACAGAGTTGCTCCACAAACCTGGACCACTAACTCCTATACTACTAAGAGAAACAAACTTCTCATTTTTTAAAAATTTGTTAGAGAGAGAGAGCGCGCACACAAAGCAGAGGGAGAGCTGGGCAGAGGGAGAAGCAGGCTCCCCGGTGAGCAAGGAGCCTGAGGCGGGACTTGATCCCACGACCATGACCTGAGTGGAAGGCAGATGCTTAACCGACTGAGCCACCCAGGCGTCCCTAAATTTCTCATTTAAACAGGTATTGTATTTTGGGGTCTTTTACCATATTAGAATATTATAGCTTTCAAGATTTAAGAAAATGAAGAAGTTTATTTCACATCGTAAGAATTTTCTAGTTTGGCAATACCCCAATTACTCTAAGAAAGAATAGTTAGACAACTGAGAATAAATTAGGAAAAAAAGCTGCTAGTCAAAAGAGGGATTATAGGCAATCCAAAAAAGGTTTAACAGCATATAAAGGTATTATAAAGATGTGCGTAGCACAATTATCACTGGCTCTACACTGGCTTCTTTATATAATTTTAATGTATTTGTGATATTGTTTTTGTCTTTATAACAGCAACAGGTACTTCAGTCAAAGGAGGTTGGGACAGTGACTATTAATGTTATTTAGTAAGCTAAGAGCTCTTGTCTCTCTAACCACAATTAATTTTCACAAGAGCATGTTTTTTTATTCCAATATATACCCCAGCAAACAGAATGCTTTGCACAAAAATCACTGAAACTCTTCAGTTTAAAGTGAAAAAGTTAACACAGAACCACCAAAATCTCAGGCTTTATTCAAAGCTGAGTCCTGATTCAGTCATTTTAATAAAAGGATCCTTGGCTTAAGGCTTTTCAATGTTAATCATTAAGACAGCAAACTTCCCTAGAGTGTTTAAACATGATCAGACTTACTCAATTGAGAAACATATCTATTACAAAGGATAAACCACACACACACACAGTGCACACACAAAGTGAGTCATTTATGTGTGAGAGATGTCTGGAACTCTATGACTCAATGCCTTGAATACTATTCATGTATTTTATGACTCATGAGCATAGTTTTCCTCTCTACAAATCAAACTGAAAGGAAAAAGGAACACTTTGGTTAATTTTAAAAGAAATAAATTTACCTATCATATTTTACTTTACTACAATTAAATACTGAAAATTACACAATAAAATACTTATTTAAGGTCTCTTTAGCAAAATTTATTAATATAAAAAAATGACTATCCCCTTGTACGTACTAATTCTATTTCAAGGAACCTTTTTAAGATAAAGATATTCTAATGTATATGCAAACAAAATAATTAAGTATATTTACTGATTATTGTAGGAAGGAAAATGATGGAAACTTAAATGCCTGCCAAAGGGGAATGGTTAAAATGAAACAAGAAGTTCTTAAAGCGCCTGGGTGGCTCAGTCATTAAGCGTCTGCCTTCGGCTCAGGTCATGAACCCGGGGTCCTGGGATCGAGCCCCCATCCGGCTCCCTGCTCCGCAGGAAGCCTGCTTCTTCCTCTCCCTCTCCCCTGGCTTGTGTTCCCTCTCTCGCTGTGTCTCTCTGTCAAATAAATAAATAAAATCTTAAAAAAAAAAGAAAAGAAAAGAAACAAGAAGTTCTTAACCAACCTTCATTTAACCAACTCATATGATTAATCAATATTCTGTCTCCTGAGTAAAACTAAAGGTGATTTGGCACACCATGTATTTGGACTATTAGGCTACCACTAGTAAACCCTTGAACTTTTGTTCCCACCACTGGGTGTCTATTTATCAAGGGTAGGGTATGTTTGTTACCACAACAGTTTGTGCAAATTGTACCTGCAATCATAACTATGTGATTTACTTCAATATTATTTAAACTGATAAAATAGGAATGAAAAAAGCAAATTGTTTTTATGATCACTAGGTTGAATACCACATGAAGACTCAATAAAGGTAAGCTACCAAAGTAAGGGCTACTGAATTGGGTGTGGCTGAGAATTGAATCACTAAGGCAAACAGTAAACAAATGGAGATGTTTGATTCTTCAATGTCTAAATTCTCCCATCACTTAAAGAAACCCCAAATCGATTACAGATAATGCACTTGGGGAAGGGTCTGTACAAGGAAGGTAAGAATGAACAATAGTGTCAACAAAAAAGCCTCGGCTCAATTACAAAACAAATGGCTGGCAAATACACATTGTTGGAATAAAATGCTTAAAGATCACTTTTTATGGTTCCCTCTGTCAGACTGATTAACTTATTAATTACCAATTATAAAAGTTATCAGATGAGAGAACTTCTAGTTGTACATCCTTAAAATTAAACACCATGTAAGGGTTCTACATCCAATCCCATTGTGTGTGTTTTTTTCTTCCACACATCCAGGCAGTGCTCCAATACCAGCTGGTCTTACCATTCAATTCAATTCTGACACTATCAACTAGGAGAGAGCATCAAGATCTCACAGGCTATAGGTTC